CCCCGTCCCCTGCAGCTCTGTTGGCCCCGCCTTGCGGCCCGGGAGCTGCAAAGCCGAGCTGGCATGCGGGCTGAGGGCGGAGCCAAAGGGGGTGGGGAGAGCCGACCTACCGCCCAGCTGGACCAAACCCCTCCGCTCCCAGCCGGCTAAACACTCGGCGAGAAACTGCAGTGCGCCTGGGATCGGGGACGCTAGCTCCTGCCCTTCCAGCCGGAGCCCTCGCACCAGGCGCCTTTCCTGGGAGCGAGCTGGGCGCGTCCGCTCATTCGCGATCGCCCGGAAAAGGCCGATTTAACGACAGGCCGTTTGGCCTTTGCACGAGCCGCCAAGTCACCAAAGGGCGGCGACAGGGGACTGGAGCCAGCGGGGCTCTCTCCCGAGGAGCAGAGAGCGCTCCGGGGCGACGCGGGGACGGAGCGAGGAGTGTCGTGGAGCTCGGGGCTAGCGGCGGATCATCACGATTTTGTCTGGCGTCTGCGAAATGTGGGAAGAAGACAAGGTCAAGCTCGGAGGCAGCGGCAGCGATGCGGGTCTGGCCAGCGCCGCGGCGCGGGGGCAAGTGGAGACCGTGCGGCAGCTCCTGCAGGCCGGCGCGGATCCCAACGGAGTCAACGGCTTCGGGAGGCGCCCGATCCAGGTACCTGGGGCCCAGGGGCCTCGTCGGCAGGGGGCGCGCGAACGCGAAGGCGCGGCCTCCCTGGGGCGCCTCTGGGACCTGGGTCTCCACTGTTTCTCTCTTGCTAGGGGTGTGGAGCCCAGGTGTAAAGCAGGTGTTCACCCACCAAAAATTCTTTTAAAAAAAAAAAGAATGAAAAACCCACTGCATCAGTTTGTTCTTTTTAATGATGGAAAAAATATCAGTATATCCTCTCCCGTCTCAGGATCAGAGATAAATTACAACTTACGCATTCTGTATTGAATTTAAAGAATCCCACAAAATCATAGTACATGGAGAAAAAAAACCTCACTGTTAAGTTTCAAGCTGCAATATGAAATTCTTTGCAGTCTTTTTCTAAGCAAAGGAACAAGACAGGGTTCCTAAACCACAATACTTACTCCTCTTATTTTATGTTAGCATTATCTCTTGAGCGTTACGTAAGAAAAAAAATGATTCAATGGATTTTTACTGCTTAATTGCCATACTGAATGCTTGGATTACAAAAGCATTCCCCGCAGCAACTGTTAGGTAGTTTTTAAATAGAAAAAAATCTTACCCTGACCGGTTTGGCTCAGTGGGTAGAGCGTTGGCCTGCGGACTGAAGGGTCCCAGGTTCGATTCTGGTCAAGGGCATGCACGTACCTTGGTTGCGGGCATATCCCCAGTTGGGGGTGTGCAGGAGGCGCTGATTGGTGTTTCTCTCTCATCGATGTTTCTGGCTCTCTATCCCTCTTCCTTCCTCTCTGTGAAAAATCAATAAAAATATATTTTTTCAAAAAAGAAAGAGTCTTCATACATAATTAGCCTCTTCATTGTTGAAATACACTTATTCAATATTTTATTATTCCCGCTTTAATTAGTACCTTCCAGAACCAAGTTTTTATTAATGAATGTTGCTAATAGTGTAAATTTTAAAGAAGATATATGTTCATCCCTTTAGAATTCATAGAAAGGTGTTACAAGAAATGAGGGATGGTTCAAAGCAGCAAAAATATGGTATAGTAGTTGTTAAAGACTTCAAATTATACTAATAATTGTATAAGTAGGTTTTATAGTTTTAATTCACCATTTTCTGGGATATTAAGAACCACTTTTCCTCCCCCCTCTCTATATGTGAAACAGCCTTTATATCACTAGTAAGAATGATAACCTATCTTGGTTTTTAAGCAAGGAATTGGATGCTTCTAATATTCATGAAACAAAACAAAAAAATTAGTATACTATCTTTCAGTTACATAGTACATTTTAAAACACAAAGTCACAGGAACAAATAGTTCCATTTTGGATATTTTGTTGTCAAAAATTGTTTTATTGTTAAAATAAGTAAATGTTTGCATAATGTATATTTATACAAATGGGTGCCATAGGATTACTGCTCCAAACATCCTTTTTCTAAGTTATGCATTGTTCTGATTCAACTACTGGCATCCAAGTTCTTTTCATATAGCAAAACATTTACTATTTAATATTATAAAATCCTGTACAATGTAAATATAGTATTAATATTACATGTTACATTAAGTCTACCACCCTCTACACTTTGGGCCTTCTCTATAACATTAAGTTAAATATTTAAAATGGTGAACCATTTATTAACAACAAATAATTGGTTTTCATTATCTGATAAAACAATGTGTGTCTCTCTTTACTTTTTCCCCTATAGCTCCAATTTTGGTTCAAATTGTAGGACTATATTACATTTATAAGCACAGACATATGTGATTGAAAAGCAAAGGCCTTCCACGGGGGTTTTACTGTGAGAACTAAACAAAGTAAGCCTTATTTTAAATTTAGGTGTTTCTCATTTTCTCCCCTAAAGCATTACTCTAACTTCCAAGATATAGCATCAGCTGACTGCCTAATAAAGATTTTTAGACACGGATTATGTCTGGGGAGAGAGGGCAGAGCAAGGGAAATAATTTCAGATTTTAAAAACCTTTAAACTTAAGTCCACCTATTAGTCATTTAACAAAATGGATTCCCATGTTCAAATGGAAGTCAGCTTTTTCTTTTTTCTCACAATGAAGACGAGCACATTATCATCAGCTCTTTGTTGCATATTTGGAAAATAACCTGAACCTCAGTAAAGAGTATACCTGGAGCGGGTGGGGGGACTGGGAGAGGGGAAATATTGCGTCAGCAAATGAGCTTAACCAGATTCCTGGGGCTTGTGAAGCACCTCTGCATTAAGCAGATACTTCATTTTTTGATATGGTTCTACCTGTCCCTGCCCAGGCCTGCATCCCGCTTTCCCCTCGCCCTGACCATTCTGCTCTCGCCTTAGGTCATGATGATGGGCAGCACCCGCGTGGCCGAGCAGCTGCTGATCCACGGCGCGGACCCCAACTGCGCGGACCCCGCCAC